CCGGGTTCAAGTGATTCTCCTGCCTCAGCCTCCTGAGTAGCTGGGACTACAGGCACACGCCACCATGCCCAGCTATTTTTTGTATTTTTAGTAGAGACGGGGTTTCACCGTGTTGGCCAGGATGGTCTTGAACTCCTGACCTTGTGATCTGCCCGCCTTGGCCTCCCAAAGTGTTGGGATTACAGGCGTGAGCCACTGCGCCTGGCCACGTACTTCTTTCCTTGAGTGATGACAATCTGTATCCTTTCCTTGTAATAAACTGTAACCATAAGCATAACATCTTTCAGTGAATTCTGTGGGTACTTTTAGAGAATTTTTTTTTTTTTTAAACACAGGGTCTCACTCTCACCCAGGCTAGAGAGCAGTGGTACAATCTCAGCTCACTGCAGCCTTGACTTCCTGGGTTCAAGCAATCCTCCCACCTCAGCCTCCCGAGCAGCTGGGATTACAGGTTGCACCGCACCACTGCACTTGGCTAATTTTGTTTGCTTTTTTTTTTTTTTTTTGTAGAGATTGGGTCTCACTGTATTTCCCAGGCGGGTCTTGAACTCCTGGCCTCAAGTGATCTTCCCACCTTAGCTTCCCAAGGTGCTGGGATTACAGGCATGAGCCACCATGCCTGGCTCTAGTGAACTGTTGAACCTGAGGGTGGTTTGGGGAATCCCCCCCAACCTCGCAGTGGTGTCAGAAGTGACGGTGGTTTTCTATCAGACTGTGCCCATGAGCCTCATAGATCAGCTAACTCTGGACGGGGGGATTGTGCTCTAGGATCTGAGAGTGGGTGTTTAAGAGTATTTAATCGCTGGGCGCGGTGGCTCAAGCCTGTAATCCTAGCACTTTGGGAGGCCAAGACGGGCAGATCACAAGGTCAGGAGATCGAGACCATCCTGGCTAACACAGTGAAACCCCGTCTCTACTAAAAAATACAAAAAACTAGCCGGGTGAGGTGGCGGGCGCCTATAGTCCCAGCTACTCGGGAGGCTGAGGCAGGAGAATGGCGTGAATCCAAAAGGCGGAGCTTGCAGTGAGCTGAGATCCGGCCACTGCACTCCAGCCTGGGCGACAAAGCAAGACTTCGTCTCAAAAAAAAAAAAAAAAAGTATTTAATCTCATTCTGAGCCCACCCTGGTCCCTCCAGACAAGCTTCCAGGGTGAAGAGGGGCTGTATTATCCAAACTTGGACCTCTTCTGGCCTCTAGATTGGGTGATGTTACTTAAAACATGGCAGGTGGACAAGGAACTGCTCAGGCAATATACCCAACTTTTTTTTTTTTTGTATACCAGAGGTGATATCTGAGAGCATTTCTGGGTCCAGAAAAGCTGACAGCATAATTACACACAGAATATCCAAGTAAAATAGTAAATGGTTACTGAATGTTAAGTTAGAAAAACTATTTAAAGACATGAGAGATATTTCAGACATACTCTTAGTAGAAAAGTTAGGTTACCAAAACAGAATGACACAATAACATTTGTAAAATGCCATATATAAAAACACACACACACACGCATCTGTCTATATATACACATATACACATGTATATATACACATATGCACACATGTATATATACACACATGTATATATACACATATGCACACATGTATATGGAGAAAGAGGGAGAGGAGGAGAGAGGGAAGGAGGGAACGCAGACACATACACGCTGACAAACCAACCGTAAGGTATCAGTAGAAAAATATAAAAAATAGAGATATAAAAGCAGAGAAATAGAAAGCAGAGAAACAGAAAGGAAAAGCTGGAAAGTTCTATGACCCCAATGCAGATCAGTTAACAGAGTGAACTGGAAACTGCCATCGTTCGGCCTGCTCACAACACCGGCCCGTGGCGTCTGAAAACCAGATCTGAGTGTTCGCGCTCTTCTTTCACGTGTGAGAGTGGCTCGCTGCACCTAAACTGAGCCTGGTTTCCTGCTAACCTGTCCTGTGCAACCTCTCCCTCTGCTGATTTTGCTTTGTATCCCTTCAGTGGAATAAATCAGTATAAACGACGATGTGGTTTACACGGAACCCTTGGTTTCCTCCAGGAGTCCAGAAGATTCAGATTGTGCGAGGCAGTGTGTGCATGAACCTTGATCAAAACCTTTCGCTACCATACAAAAATTAGCTGGGCATGGTGGCGGGCGCCTATAATCCCAGCTACTTGGGAGGCCGAGGCAGGAGAATCACTTGGACCCAGGGGGCAGAGGTTGCAGTGAGCCGAGATCACGCCACTTCACTCCAGCCTGGGCGAAAGAGCAAAACTCCGACTCAAAACCAAATCAAACCAAACCAAACCTTGCACCACCGGACTCTGGTGCGCTTCCCTGGTTGACAACATGGAACAGGTGTTGTCACAATGCGATGCTGGATGAGCCAGGCACATCCGGTGTGATGTCCCCGGGAGAGGACTGAGGAAGGGGGAGCCTGCTTTCCTGCTAACCTGTCCTAGGCAACCTCTCCCTCAGCTGATTTTGCTTTGTATCCCTTCGCTGGAATAAATCAGCCACGAGTAGATCTAGATGGTGGGTCCTGTGAGTCCATCTAGAGAAACAAGGAACCTGGTGGTGGTCTTGACAACTCCTGACACACCCTGAGATCCTGAGTTTCTTAAGTGCACCTATGTGTTGCAACAACAGGCATGCATTCCCTTATCATATACAAATGTGTATTGATTTGAAATGCAGTCAGAGGCGATTAGACTCTCAAAAGACAAAGAAGGTTTCTTTTTTTTCTTAAAAAGTCTACTCCTAGCCAGGCACGGTGGCCTGTAATCCCAGCACTTTGGGAGGCTGAGGCGGACGGATTACTTGAGGTC